CAAATAAAGAGGCTTTTATCTCCTGCAGTGGGAGGTCAGAAAAAGCTGAGGAACAGGCCCAGCTCTTAACCATAAGAATGGCAGAGCTCCAAAGGAGATTAACTAGAAACCCAGCTAGGTCAGTTATGCCAAGGTTAAGGTGCTGGATTGGAAAGAAAGAGACTCTGATGCAGGGAGAGGATAGTCAGGTTTCTGTTAAAATCAGACGGAGCACACACTAGAGGCAGAGCATGTGGGAGGATCTGTTCACCAAGGAATGGAATCCAAACGGCATAGTGAAAATAAGAAACAGAGGAGGGGAGTAGAGACCTTCGTAAGGCAACCGCGGGAAGGCACAGCTTGTGCAGCAACCAAGAAAAGGTGGGATGTGAAACTAGGAAGATGTAGACAGTGGAAAGGTTTCCAAAAAAATTAGACAAGAATTGGTGTTTGAATCAAATGACTCAGTACAAGTCTGTGAATTCATTTTCCTCTTCCTTTCAGATTTCTCCTTTTGCTGAAAAAATAAAATTCAGGGGGACTTCCTCCCCCTTCCCTCCTTTTGCTTCTCTATCTTTCCTCCTCTTCCTGGCACCCCATTCCTTCTGCGGGTCCTCTGACTGGGAATGGGAACGCCGTCTCCCACCACGGGGCGGGGCGAACGGAAGTGGGCGGGCTCCTTCCTGTCGACGTGTGCCGTAAGGACGCTGTGGCGTAAGAGGACGTCCGGTTCTTCTAGTGCCGAAACCGTCTGTCAGCTTTCCTGGGTTTTAGTAGCTTCTTCCCCGGATTCCTGATCCACGAGTTGGATTTACTGCTGCCGCGGGCCGGCCTCCCGCCATTCCCTGTCCCTCGGCTCCCGGAGTGAGTCCGGCCTCCCCGCGAAAGTGAGCGAGGTCGGCCCGGAGCGCGCGCGAGGTAGGGTGGCCGGCGGACGGGTGACGTTTGTCGGTTCCCCGAGCCGCGTGGCGCCTCCGCCGTGTCTCCTCTGGACGCCCCCTCCGCTCCACTGGGTCTTCTAACTCCAGGCTTTACTCCTAAAGCCGCAGCGACCCTGTGCGTGTTTCCTCATTTGGTGACAACGCGCAGTATCCAGAAGAAGTTGGAGCGTTATTGGAAAAGGGTTTGAACCCATATAAGGCTGAGAAAAGATGTTCAGTTTTTTTTATGTTTCCAGAACTAACTGGAGAAAAAAAAATTTGAGACTTAAATTTCTCAGCGGATTCAAAAGACACCTCAGGGGACTCAAAAAGTTCTTCCGCATGATCACCTCGTGATTACTGATAACCTTGTGACTATTTTCTGAGCTCCTTTGGCCGGAGCTGCCCTCTAGATTGTGTCATTTGAAATATCGGAGGGGTGCCTTAGTGGCTTGGACGTTAATTAAAGTAACCACCTATTAAACCTCCTCGCTGACCTGTCCCTATTTTTGAGTGGCCACCATACTGCCTACCACCTGGGTTTTGATTGGGCATTCAATTCAGAAAACTTCAGTTTTCTAAATGTAGTTTTTTCAACTAAGTGATGAAAGCCGGCTTTAAAGTCCTTACTTTGATATATATGGTAAACGTAAACTCTTAAACGTAAGCTTGCCCCCTATTAAAATTCATTCCTTGCTCACTGCACGTAGAGAGAAGAGCAGCTTTCAGAGTCAAAGCAACTAATGTGTTTAATATCTTCAGAGAAAATGGTGTGACTTTGTAGTTAATAGTGGTCATTTCCTATTAGACGTTTTATTTACATATTACATAGAAAAAATTAGATTTGTTACATTTCAAATCCAGCAGCATCAGTTCATCTGAATACGTAGCTCAAAAAAGTGATTTAAACTGGGTAAATCATATACTTTTTAATGGTTTCTTGTTAATGATATATGCCTAATGAGTTTTTAAGGAGGTGCAGAAATACTTAATATCAAAGAAACTTTTTTCTTAGTGGGAAAGGAAAACTTTGGCTTTTAGGATACATTTTTTTGATGTTTACCTTTTTTAGAATTGTTTGGTAGTGCACATAAGTGCCTTATTTTAAAAGTCACCCACTTTATTCGGAATAACGTGTGGTTAATGTTTCATAAAGATTTAATACATAACCATCAAATTGACAGAGTTGAGATTAAAATTTAATAAGAATGAAACTCCTTTGGTATACTATTTCTTGGTTTATTAAAATAGTAAATGCAGTCAAGCAATTATATCTTTTTTGTTTTTTGTGTAGAAATTGAGGAAAATGCCTAAAAAAAAGACTGGTGCGAGGAAGAAGGCTGAGAACCGCCGGGAACGTGAAAAACAACTGAGAGCATCAAGAGGCACTATAGATTTAGCTAAACATCCATGTAATGCTTCAATGGTAACAGCTTTTTTTTTTTTTAATATCGGTTGATAGTTCAAAAACTATATAGTATTTTATCTGAAATACACCGGAATAAAATTTCAATGAATACAGTGTTGCATGTATTTTATTACTGAATTTGAAATCCATGTTAGAAGCATGCCTGTTGTTTTCACTAACACTGAGTAGCAATGATTTTTGGTTAATCTATAATATTTATAAAACCTAGCATATTACATTACATACCGTTGGTGATAGATATTGAACAAGAATAGATAATAGAAACTATGACATTTTCCAGCTTCTCCGATGCCTTAACTCAATTTGTCTTATCAGTTGGGTTTTCATCATTTTTTCTCTTAGTGATTCTTAACTCATTTGATTTCTCCTCTCTGAACTTTCTGCTTCTCTTGACATCTCTTTTGGCTTCCTGTTCTATTACCTTATCTGTCTGTGCTGAGTGGGTTATTCTTGATAATCTCTGGGCTGCTTTAAATGGTGAAAGTTATGAAAAAGCAAATGATTATTAAGTCATCATTACCTCTTTCCTTTCTTTGACCCTGTTTCTCTGAGTTATTACACTTCTCCCTATTCTCCCTCCTTTCTGCTTTTTGATTCTCACTCTTCCTCTTTTTATTCCCCCTTCTTTTGTTTCATCAAACATATATGA